AAGGGTTTAAAAATTAATTTTCTAAGAAGTGAACTGAAAGTGTTGCACAAAGTGAAGCACAGTTGGTACTGGCCCGACTGTAGTCTTCGATACAGGAAGATAACCTCAAAACTTCGTTCCCTTCAGACGGCTTTCCGCCTGCACCTGAGAAGTTTCTGTGGGTCGCATCTCTTTACGAGAAAGATTGGGCACATTTTTTGTGGTGTACGTACAGATTCCTTAGGTTTATCTATGAGGGGCAGGTGTACCTTCATCAAGGTGGCACAGTAGTCCTGCCGGAGCCAGACTACCGGTGTCATTCGCCTGCCTGGGCGCAGCGCGCTGTGGTCTGTTACCGTACAGCTGCGCTGCGACAACCTGGTTGCCATGCAGCGTCTCGCCTCTTTACAGCCACCATTCCTATGGGTTGGTGCAGCTCTCCCAGTAGCTATGGAACTGAGCTCCAGAACCCAGTTTCCTTCAGGGCCATGTTTTCCCCAAGCACAACAGGATCTCCTTTGTGTAGAGCAGGCCAGATGCATCTTAAGTAGCCTTTTACAAATATTTTCATGTTTAGGTTGGTCAAGCTGTGATTTTGCCGCAATGTGGCTGGCCACCTGTTGATCCTGGGCTTTGTAACACCTATCACTAGGCAAAGATGTCTTGCTGAGAAGAGACGTGCAGAGAAGGAGATGAGTGGTTTAGGACAGAGCTTTGTGCAACTTTTTATATGCCTCCCAAGTCTTCCCTTCAGCCTCCAGATATAGAAAGGACACCAAGGAGCCAGTGTCCCAGGGGAACACACAGCTTACATGGCTGATTGGGTGAAACGTTCCTGAGGATTGCCTTCTGGTTGGGGCACCTGATAAGCACTTTTTCATGAGCCTCTCACCACTGTAAGCCTCCATTCAGACTGCTTCTAAGATTTCCAGCTGCTAAGATGAAAAAAATTTATTTTAAAATGTGCATATGTACTTTCGCATTTTCCCAGACACAGTTGTTCATTTCTTCCCAGAGTCACGGCTCTAAAGGCCAGTGAGGATTAATATTCGGTAATTAACAGCAGATGACTATGGGCAGTGCAGTGAAATTCAAAGAGATCTTGCAAGGTTTTTTTTTA